AGTTGTCCGGGATACTCGTTTAAAAGAAGTTCGGATATATACTGATTATGGTCGTTGCAGTCGCCCGCTTTTCGTTGTTGAAAAACAAAGACTTTTAATAAAAAAGAAAGACATCCAAAATCTGCAACAAAGGGTATGTCTCTCGAGTTCTGTAATTTTGTAATTTATTTATGGTTTATTTTCTTAATAACATCTTGTTTGTGTCTATGGATTCACAGGAAACCCCAGAAGATGGTGGGTGGCATGATCTTGTATCAAATGGATTCATTGAGTATATCGATACTCAAGAGGAAGAGACCACTATGATTTCCATGACCATTAATGTAAGCAACAAAACAATACATGATATCAAGTTTTAAAAAACATTTAAGAAAATAACTTGGGAAATGGATGTTATGTAGGATCTAGTAAGTGCGAGGGAAAATCCAGGTGAATCTTATTCAGACACTTACACACATTGTGAAATCCATCCATCCTTGATTTTGGGTGTTTGTGCCTCAATTATACCATTTCCTGACCACAATCAGGTAATTATATAAATCCACAGTGATATTATTGTTGTTACATAATTATTAATATTTGATATTTTGTTTTATGTGTCAACAAACAGTCTCCACGTAATACGTATCAATCAGCCATGGGTAAGCAAGCGATGGGAATTTATGTCACTAACTTCCAGTTCCGTATGGTATGCAACACGTTTCTTCTTTCTCACAACTCTTAAAAGAAAGGAGTAGCAATGTACTTTGATTGATTCTGGTTTCATTGATTCTTTTTAGGATACATTGGCGTATGTTCTATACTATCCTCAAAAACCACTTGTAACTACTCGAGCAATGGAGCATTTGCACTTCCGAGAGCTTCCAGCTGGCATCGTATGCAATTATTGCATTTTCTAATTCATATAAAAAATGCTTTATTTTCATATCAAAATACCATCCCTTTTTCTCTTGTGTTAGAATGCAATTGTGGCAATTGCCTGTTATTCCGGATACAACCAAGAAGATTCTGTTATCATGAACCAGTCCTCAATAGACCGTGGCTTCTTCAGATCACTCTTCTTCCGTTCTTACAGGTTATTTACTTGCTCAAAAGACATAAATACCCTCCCTCCAATCCATAGACTACAAAACTTAATGTACATGTTTTTTTACAGGGACGAAGAGAAGAAGATGGGGACACTTGTGAAGGAAGATTTTTGTCGTCCGGATAGATCTAACACCTTGGTAAAAAAAAACACCGTTAACGGTGTTTCCTTTCTTTTCTAAAACCAAACTGGTATTTTAACCTCCTTTTTTTGAAGTACAGGGTATGCGACATGGTTCTTATGATAAATTGGATAATGATGGTCTTGCTCCTCCGGTTAGTACTGTCTTCTTAGGGTTCAGGGTTTAGGTTTTTTTTTATCTGTACCAAACAAACTCGATTGTTACAATGTAGGGGACACGAGTCGGTGGCGAGGATGTGATTATCGGGAAAACAACACCAATTGCTCAAGATGATACTGAAGGGCAATCTTCCAGATACACTCGTCGTGATCTCAGTACAAGCTTACGTCACAGTGAAAATGGAATGGTTGATCAGGTACCCTGCCCGGCTGCCCATGTTTTTGAATTGTTGGCTTAGATGTTAAATTTGTAACTGGACTGCTGCAGGTGCTGCTGACAACAAATGCTGATGGGTTGAAGTTTGTGAAAGTGAGGGTGAGGTCAGTGAGGATACCTCAAATTGGAGATAAGTTTAGCAGTAGACATGGTCAAAAGGGAACAGTTGGGATGACTTACACGCAAGAAGACATGCCATGGACTGTGGAGGGAATCACTCCTGATATCATTGTGAATCCTCATGCTATTCCTTCTCGCATGACAATTGGTCAACTCATTGAGTGTATTATGGGCAAAGTTGCTGCTCATATGGGGAAAGAAGGAGACGCCACTCCCTTCACTGATGTCGCTGTAAGTACTTTCAACTTTCAATAAATAGCAACCTACTTCCATTCATTTTTCTTGTATTTTGAAACTTTTACTCAGTTAAAGCGTTGGCATCTAAATACAGAGCAATGATTGCACAGATTTTTCAAAGTATAGTGTCATGATAAGAAAGAAGCTGAAATTGCAATGCTATAATTGTGTATATTGACAAAGTACAATGCCTTAATGAGGATAAAACTGAAAGTACAATCTTGTGATAGAAAGAAATGGAAGTAGGATGTTATATTACGCACAAATGAAAGTACATTGCTATTTCTCGCATTTGGCCCATTATTTGTTCCATCTCGTTAAGTTTTCTCGACTTAAGTCCTTTTTGTTCAGTTCATTTGACATATTTGCTTTGTGGGTTGTATTTTGAATTTTTTTTTCCCTAATTTTAGCAATGTCATCCCTAAATAAAACGATTTTCACTGCTATAGTTTCCAAAGTATAAGAAAAATATTAAAGTAGAAAAAGCTATAATTGGGTATATTTTTCAAAGTACAACGCCATAATAAGAAGAAATTGAAAGTAGGATGCTTTAGTAGAGAGAAATGCAAGTAGGATGTTATAATACACAAACAAGTGATAGTATGTTGGTATTTGTTGCAAAATTTGTAAACTCAAGTCCTATTTGTTTTGATGGGGACAGGTGGATAACATCAGCAGGGCTCTTCACAGGTGCGGTTACCAAATGTGTGGGTTTGAGACCATGTACAACGGTCACACGGGCCGACGGCTAACCGCGATGATATTCATGGGGCCCACTTACTACCAAAGACTGAAACATATGGTTGACGACAAGATCCATTCACGTGGACGCGGTCCCGTCCAGATCCTGACCCGCCAACCCGCGGAGGGCCGGTCACGTGACGGTGGGCTCCGGTTTGGTGAAATGGAGCGTGACTGCATGATTGCTCATGGTGCGGCCCATTTCCTTAAAGAACGGCTCTTTGACCAGAGTGACACATATCGGGTTCATGTCTGTGAGCGCTGTGGCTTGATTGCAATTGCTAATCTTAAAAAGAATTCGTTTGAGTGCAGAAGCTGCAAGAATAGAACTGATATTGTTCAGGTACGTAACTATCAATCCCAATCCCAATCCCACCCCGTTAATTTTTAGTATTTATTATTTAATGGTCAAATATTTTATGATATGTATGTAGGTGCATATTCCGTATGCGTGTAAGTTGTTGTTCCAGGAGCTGATGGCTATGGCAATTGCGCCTTGGATGCTTACCAAAGATGTGAAGCAAGTCAAAGATAACATTACCAAGAAGAAAGGGGCTTGAGAATTGAGTTGAGATGAGTGGGACAAGTTGACTGGATTTTTGGAACTTGAATGTATATGAATTTAGTACTTGGTAGTATATGGTGGAATACCCTTAAATAATATTGTTAGGTATTGACGTAAACCTAGAGCAGTAGCATGTGATGAACCAAAAAGTCTCCAATACCTATTGATGAGAATCGTGAATTACTATTCTCATTCATATATAGCATTTAACCAAACCAACAACTATACTAGTATATGAAGAGAATTTTAAAACTCAATTGTTTTCTTGTTTGTTATAAAAAGGCTTGGAGAACTTAATGGGTCTGAATTTTGCTATTATTTTATGCAAAATAAAAGTATTTTTGATTCTTGTCCCCATAATTGTGGTGATAGGAGGACAAGAATGTTTTTTAAATCGATATGAATCTTGAATCTCTTTGAAGGATGGGATGTGATCAGGAATTATGGTTTTACAGTTTTTTTAATTCTTCTTCTAAATACTAAAGATAAGATCCAATCAACATTAAAGGTTAAACGGAAGCTCTTTTTACTTTTGTTATGATAGATATGACATTTGTCCCATCATTTTGACAGTTTTAAAAATAATCATGAAAAATATATTATGAAAATAACATTTTCTATAATAATTTTCATGGGACCCCACTAGAGGGGCTTGCCCCTAGGACCCCGCAAGGGTGCAACTCCCTTGACTCTACCATCTGGTCGAATTGATATCAAACTTGTTTTACACAAGTGTGTATTAGACACCTCCTCACTTATAAAAAAAAGTCATGAATTGAACACCATTTGAAACATGTAAATTCTATTATACTAAAATGACTTAGTGTACTCAAATCACCAACCATAACAAGTCTTTTTTGTAGTTTAGCGGCGGTGACAGAGCTCTAACGATGACGTCTAACAACTGCTCGTCGAAGAAGGAGAGAGAAGAAGTGACGGCCAGCAGCGGTTCCTTTGTATAAGAAGAGAAGAGAGACGACGATGATGACGATCATGCAACCGGTGGCAGAGAAGTTCGGAGAAAGGCAACGAGAAAGAAAGATGGCTCGAGCTGCGGCGGACGGGGCAATTCCGGAGACTGCAATGTTGATAGAGAAAGAGACGACAATAGATCAGAGACTACTCGGTGGAGAAAGTGTCATCGGAGAGAGGCAACCACAACATCACAAGGGGCTGAATCGGAAAAGAGATTTGAAGAAGTGGCCAACCGAGGAGGAGGCGGAAGGTGAGGAGGCAAACATAGACGAGACAGTAGAAGAAGCCGATGAAAAGACTTTGGTTTGGTGCCAACCGGCTGTTTTATTATTTAGACGGAGAAGAGAAGAAACAGAAAAATAAGAAACAAAATTAAGGCACCTCCGATGACTATTAGAAAAGGTCGCCAGAGGTGGATCGGAAAATATATTTGAAGAAGTGGCCAGCCGAGGAGGAGGTGGGAGTTGAGGAGGCAAAAGTAGACGAAACATTAGAAGAAGTCGATGAAAGGGCTCTGGTTTGGTGCCAGCCGACTATTTTATTATTTAGACGGAGAAGAGAAGAAACAGAAAAATAAAGTACATAATGAAGGCACCTCCGACGACTATTAGAAAAGGTCGCCAGAGGTGGAGGGCGGCGGCTATTGATTGTAGTCAGAAGTAAAGTTTTAACCTAGAGCTCTGATACCATGTAAGATAATAAATTGTTTGATTGATAAATAATAGGTTAAACCTCATATAAATAGGGATACATAAGGGACCTAATATAAACCCTAAAGGGCTTGGTCCTAAACGCTAATCACTAACATGTATCTATCCATGTCACCCCTCCCTTCCGGCCTTCCTTAAAGCCATATTAGTTTTTCACTCTCTTTTTATTCTTTCCCTAACTTACCTAAACACATGAACATGGCCTTCCTGATATTTCCTCCTTCCATAACATATTGGTAATAACAATAATACACAATATACAAGTTGAAAGAAGAAAGTGAGAGGAGAGCTCCAATAGTTTTCCTTAAAAATTTCCCCTTTCATTTCCCTAAAATCGTGCTCCATCCCCGGAATTAAATGCACGACACCGTCTACTGCAGTTAGTTGTACCAAAACGTAACCCCTTTCATATGTTAAAGAAAAATGAGAAAAAATAATAAGAGAATTAAACTGATGTGACTTAAATAGAAAATGATGACATTGATGAATATCCACCAATCTCATATATATTCATCAAATTGTAACACTCCGACTCCCAGGTGTGAAGTATAAGAAGCTTGGACCAAAGAGGAGCTTGTGGATCTGACTCTACTTCATCTTGGCATCATTTTGGAGGTATAAAGTCGTTGCCTTGGCTTATCTTTGATTATATCTCTTCATGCCTAAGTTTAGTGCCATCTTTAGGATATTTGGAAGTCATTTCGGGTATTGGGCTAAGATCTGAAGTTGTAACTTCAGATCTGGACTCCCCTTGGTCCCTATAGCCATAAAGTTATGAGATTTGGCAAGCTTGGGTCCTTCCTATTGAGTTAACCTTTCCCTTAGTCTAGTTTTGGCATTTAGGACCATGCATGTACGTAAAGTTTGCAACTTTACGTGGAAACCATGCCCTAGGAGGTTGGATCTGCAATATGGAGCTTTAGGGTGGCTTAAAAACATCTATATAAGGAATAGATTGCATGAACTCGACAAGTCGCATAGACGACTCGGCGAGTCCGATGAAGATTGACCATGGTTGGGTTCTACATGGACTCGGCGAGTCAGTAAGGGGACTCGACGAGTCAGAAAGGGTTTTCCCCGACCTCTGGACACGCATGGACTCGACGAGTTGGTTGGAAACTCGGCGAGTCAGTTAGGGTTTCATGACTTCCGGAGTTCTTAAGGAACTCGAAGAGTTACTAGCTGCACTCGACGAGTCGGGTCAACATGGACCGTTGAGTTTGACCTTTGACCTTGACCAAGGGTTGACCAATTGGACTTTTGAGGGTATTTTGGTAAATTGAGATTCTGATGGACTTGGTCCTATGGTGGTGATAGGTGTTTGAGTTCGTGGCTGCGATTCGAGAGTTTTGCATTATCACTACAATTTGACATCTGTGAGGTGAGTTTCCTCACTGTACTCAAGGGTCTAAGGCACCAAGGCCGACCCTTTTGGATTGTTATCCTGGTATGTTATGCTAGTATGAGCTATTAGATCAATATACTGGTAGATAGGATGGTATTATGTTGCTATGATCTGTTAAATCAGTATCCTGGTAGATAGGATGGTATTATGTTGCTATGATCTGTTAGATCAGTATCCTGATAGCTAGAATGATGTTATGCTAGTATGATCTGTTAGATCAGTTTGTCTGTCTATATACTGTTATGTGATTATCTGATATATGTGCACATGTTTGATTGGTGGTTGAGGCTCATCTGCTTTGTGCGAGAGCCAACAGACCTGGGCATTTCAACCCGATGGTTGTGGGCTGTGAGTATCCCATCCCGAGGATGATTGGACTCGTAGTATGAGGGAATTCCAACCTGATGGTTGTGGGCCTGGGGTATTCCATCCCGAGGATGACTGGACCCATAGTATGTTGGCATTCCAACCCGATAGTTGAGGGCTTGGGGTATTCCAACCTGATGGTTGACTGAACCTATAGTATGTTGTTTGTGTTTATGTATATGTTGATGTGTATGGGTATATTGGGGGAAATCACTAAGCTTCGGGCTTACAGTTGTTGATTTTGTTTCAGGTACTTCTGATGATCGCGGGAAGGCGAAGGCGTGATCGTACACCTCCTATTGTTTATGATTTGATTTTGGGATACTCTGACACTGAACTATTTTGAAAACAAGTTTTGTAATAATCATTAGTTTTGAAATGTTTTAAAAAGTTTAAATTTGACATGATTTTTATGGATGTTACAAGTTGGTATAAGAGCCTTGGTTTGAGTGGATTGGAGGAAACACTCTCGTGTTTCCAGTCTCAAACTGAGGACAAGATTTTAAAACGATTTCTTAAAATGTTTTCAAAATAATAAAGGAGGATGCAAGTGTACGATCAGCCGGAGCTCGCGAATCAGCCGGGAAATCGCCAGCCAGTGCTCTTACAGGACCCGAAATCATTCGTGAAACAATCGAGAAGATAGTCAAAATCAAAGCTCGACTTCAAGCATCGCGAGACCTGTTGGATTAGTGTCTAAGTCCATAACTATTTTGGTATGTACTTGACCCAATTATGAGCATGGTCCTTT